CTGTTCTGGAAACGGCAGCTTGCTTTCTAGCCTTTCAGGCCTCTGCATGCTGTGACTCTTACCTAAGATGCTCCCTACCACCCATGCATTTTCCCAAAGTAGTTACTTTTCTATAACTACTATCATCCCTTCCTATGTTCTCCCCAACCCCCCTGCCCCGCCGCCATACACAAATGCTTTCGTTCTGGATTTCTGGAGCACCCTGTAATGGCCTTATCGTACAAGAACATTCAGTGGTTGTTCGTGTACTTGCCTGGCTGCCCTGCCTCTACAGCCCGCAGGCTCTGTACTATTACAGCCAAAGTCCGTCTTGGTTCCCACCACATTCCTAGGGTCTAGCCAAGTGCCTGGCATATTACAGTTTCTCAAATATTCAAGCGAAGCCATAAACTCACATAACTATAGTACAAGAAGCACTATCACTTATAATAAAACTTAATATCAATAATTGTATTGAGTTGATTTACATATGGCATTCAAGTGGGTGGCTTACAGCCACCTGTTCCTAGGAGCAGCATCTTAAGAGCCTAGGTTCAAATCCCCACACTTCCCTGTGATCTTAGACCAGTTATTCTTACTTCAGTTTATCTGTAAATTGGTGATCATTAGAGTTACTAAAGTTGAGTTTATATATAGTACATCTAATTACCTGGTGACAGTACGCACTCAGTAAATGTCATATTCATTGGTAGTATTACAGGATCATTTTTATACTACTGTATGGTCCTTGTGATATTAGATCAAAATGACAATACTGGTAGTATTTATATAATACTAAAATGCTGGTGGCTTTAATGTTTAGTAAATAACAGAGCACCTACTATGGGCCAAGTACTATTCTAGGTATTGTGAACACAGCAGACAAAAATGAGTGTATTTGTTTGCAATTGATCCATTGATAGAGGCATCCAGGGTAAAGGCCTGTGAAGTTCCCCAGCTGAGTCATGTGACTAGTTAGCAAAGTGAGAGAGGAGGGTATTGGCAGGACAAAAAGCCTTTAGAGATGATATCAAATGCTAAGTAGACAAAGGGAAGGCAAAACTGAGAGAAAACAGTCCTAAGTCTTAACAGGCTACATACTGCGAGCCCTGGCAGAACAAGGAAAGCATAAAAACAACCATATCAACAGTAGTCCAATGAAGGTGAAAATGGGCCAAGAAAAGGACAATATTTTCTAGCTACTGCCACAATGAAAGATGTAAAACTATGTGTGTTAAAGTCTAATGCAAGACTCTAGCAAATTTCTAAGGATAACCACTGGTCTCACAAATGCCCCCATCCCACGGAGCCCGGTGGTGGCCCTTTGCGCCTTAAGGAGTTACTTGGGCTCGGCGAACAGGCAGAGACCCTGAGTCTGCCACCGAGCCTCCTCCCTCCCACCACCCAGCTTCATCAGTGCAGCTCTGTTTACACCTTGGTTTTGCAAACACTCTTGGTTTTCCTGAATGTTTCCTAGTTTGAAGTCTGCGAGATGGAATGATAGCAGGTGAAAGTTGTGAGCAGTTTTATAGCTGGGGAGTAAAACATTGAGGGGAGAAACAGGGAACTTATTTTTTTAAAGGTGCATCACAAACTGTAGAATGTAAAATTATAGAGATATTAGAACTACACCATTCAATATGACAACCATTAGCCACATGTGGCTATTTAAATCAAAACTATATAAAAATCTGCCTGTTCAGCTGCATTAGCTACATTTCAAGTGCTTAATAGCCACGTGTGGCTAATGGCTACTGTATTGGACAGCAGATAATAGAACCTTTCCATTACTGCAGAGTTTTAATTGGCAGTATTGTCTGGAGATTACATGGTGCAGTCACCTTGTTTTACAGAAGAAAAATCTGTCAAAACCTAGAGATGGTGTAGCAGGTTGAATACTGGCCCCCAAAAATATCAGGTCCTAATCTTAAACCTTCAAATGCTACCTTATTTGGAAAAAGTTCTTTGCGACGGGATTAGGTTAAGGACCTTGAGATGGGCAGATCGTTTTAGGTAATCTCTGTCGGCCCTCCATTGAATCACAGGTGACTTTATACGAGGGAGGCAGAAGGAGATCCTGTGTATGCTGTTGGCCTTGAAGACTGGACTGGTGCAACTTCAAGCTGAGGAAAGCTGATAGCCACCAAAAGCTGCGAGATTCAGGGAGTCAAACCCATGTGCCCCTTTACCCCCACCTCCTGCGGGAGCATACTATTACAAACAAATACGTTAGTTTCCTAGTTTTTTGTTAACTTCATTTCGGTTTTAGAATGTACTACTTCCTTCTTCCTTTGTACATGGACGTCTAGATCCCTCTGGCATTTATCAACCATGAATGAGCTGGGTTTTACTACACAGATGGAATGAAGGGGGCCAGGGCAAGATCACAGGTTTATTATTAGGGCATTTCCTACAGTGGAAGAAAAATAGTAGATTAAAAGAGTCTAAGGGAGATACTGGGATTAAGGTGTTTCTATGCAAGACAGTAAAAGGGAAAAGGACCATATGATGTATATTCCATCCCAAAGAGGGTGGAGAAAAGTGTGTCAGACTATTCCCAGCAGCTCCTTTTTTTTTTTTTTTCTTTTTTTTTTCTTTTTTTTGGTCCATGGGGCTTGGTGGCTGCTCAGAGAGTGTAGGCAACTGGCCCTTCTTATGTTTGAGTTTGCAGATTGCAAGGAACTTTGCTGCAGGTTAACTCATCATTTCTGAATTTCTAAAACCACTCTTACTTTATGTAGGGAAGATTTCTGGGGTTTGGAACCAAGCTTCTCCACCCATCCCCCAAACGTGGCTGAGACCTTCTGCCCAATTTTGGTAACTGGATCCACCTTCTAGTGGCCTATTTTATCAGGTCACTTCAGTCTTGCCTACTCTTACCAAGCTCTTCCTGCAGCCAGGAGCACAGTGCATCTCAGCCTGCCCACCCAGGCCCTCCTCTTTGCTGCGTGTTTGGACGAGTCTGAGATAAGAAAGGTGAAAGGACAGCAAAGTGGCATTCTCTCTGCCACCGTAATCCGTTTTATCATGACCTTATGAATAGCTGCACAGCAGTGGCTCGTTGCTAGGATGTATTGATAAATTTTATTTCATTTCTTCTCCCCACCAAAGTCATCCTAATCACATCCTCAACCACACCCTATTTCAAGTCCCATCATTTCCTGTTAAAAACCATTTCAACAGCTTTCCATTGTCCTTAGCATAAAATAAACCCTGTCAGGGTCTGGGCCCCAAACTACACTCTTCTCAGGCCACTCTGCTCCTACATCCTTAAGTTCCAGTTGCACTTCTGGGTCCTTAAACAATCAAGTGTTTTCCAGCTTCATGTCTGGGCTCTCCACCAAAAGCTGTTTTTGTGCCTGTAGATCCCCCACCCCACCAGAGAAGACTGTGTTGATCAACCAATAACACCCAGGCCATTTGTTTGCCTTCCTTCCGACCCCACCCCCATACCTGGTGAGAGTAGTGTAGTACCTACTGTGTTTTGAGGGGCTATACCTTCATTCTGTTTGGGTTCAAATCCCTGATCCACCACTTCCCTACTGCTCTGTGACCTTCCAAAGTTACTCAGCGTGTCTCAGTTTCCCCACCTAGAATGTGGGAGTGATAAACGGCATTTTGAGGATTAAATTTGTTAGCAGATGGTAAACTCTTGAAACAGTAATAGAACTTCTCATCTTCGCATACACTCCACTTTTATTCCACGTGTTTGCAACGTTTGAGTCTGTCACCTAGGGAAAGGCTTACAGTGGCCCACCCCCGGCTGGTTAAGGTCTGCTTATTGACACTCCAAACGAGGGAATAGAGAGCACGAGGAAGGGAGCCTGCTCCTCCCAAGTTTAGGAGGGGGCCCAGGGGCGCACTTGTTGAAAGGGACGCCGGCCCGGCCTCTCTCTGCTTCCGCAGACTCCAATTACCTATTGGACTAGTGAGTGTAGCTGTAGGAAAGGAAATTTCTGGGTCGTGGCCCAGCCCGGGGGAAACGGCTAGGGCCTCTGCAGGAGGCTCCCGAGGAAGGCACCTTGGCTTAGAGAACCAGATCCACTAGCGCCGAAGCCCGGGAAAGTGCCAGAACTGTCAGAGATTCCAGGAAGATGCTCCACTGAGGCTGGTCCTGCGTCCTCGGAAAGAGCGAGAAGCCCGGCAGATGGAGGGCGGCGGGGACCAATGGCCGGCTCGCCCCGCCCCGCCCCGCCCTGCAGCCTTCCCAGGGATTGGCTGCCCCCCACCGCCCTCTGCCCCGCCCCGAGGCGCGGAACTGGTCTCTGCGGTGCGCTGGAGTCAGAGGTCTCTTAGTCTCGTGGAGTTCGGTGGTGAGTGTACCTTCGGTCTCCGGTCCCTGGCGGTAGGGAGGTCACCGCAAGGGCCTGCAGACCAGGGAGGGGCTGGGCTTGTCCCGCGTCCCCTCGAGCTTTGCCCGCCCGGAGCTCCTCTGCTCCCGGCGGCCAGAACAGAGGGGTAGAGCAGCCCTTGGCGACCCGGGGGGCGGGCGGTCGTGCCCGTCCCAGGGCCACGCGAGGCACAGACTACTGCACGCAGAGGCCTGGAGGGTTCCCGCAGGCAGGCCCCAGTACGGTCACAAATTTGCGCTTTGCTTTTCCAGGGCGCAGCCGTGGCTAATTTGTAGCAGGATGGGGTTCCGGTTCCACTCCGCCTGTGGGGGCGAGAGACTGTCCCAGATCCACCTTGGGCCTGGGAAGTTTGTCTCCAATGTCTGTAGTGGTGCCGCGGCCTGAATTCTAAGTGCAGGTATGTCTGGTGCATGAAATGAAATGACCTGGGCCCAGAGCACGTGGCAATGGCGGCCGCAGGGCTCCTGGGCGCCGGTTTGGTGCAAAGGCCGGAATCTGGCTGTCCTTTAACGTAAAGGAAACTTTGCATTCCCAGGCTCTACTGGGCAAAACAACGGCCTTAAAGGGGTTTCGGACTAGTTAAGGAAGCCGCTGGGATCCATGTTGATGAAGGACGAGTGCAGGAAACTCTAGAGAACCCTTTAAAAAAATCCCAAGTCGCCCTTTCCTGTGCCCTTTTAAGGTTGACGCAGTACCTTAGGAGGCTAACACAGAAGGGTAAAGTAAGTCTCCATAAAACCCAGAGAAGAGATGGTAAAACTCCTCTTTGGATCCTGTCTGGAGTCACAGATGAAACAGCATTTCCTTTCCGTTGGAGCACTTTTGTGATATTTGAACACAGTTAATAGCAAAGTGATCAATTAATACTACCTTTGATAATACTGTCAGGCATGCTTTTAAACTCTGGGGCTGCCATCTAATATTTTCAAACAGATGAGGGAATTTGGATATTTTGGTTATCTTTGAAGTTGGGGGAAAATCCATGTGATGGAACATCTGTACATGCTTTTTTCTTGGACATCATTTGAGATAAACTGAGAAGAATATACCTTAAAGGTTTCTTTCTGTTTAAGAAGTTACTGAAAAACTTTTTTTTTTTAATAGGTTGAAACTACAGGTTCAAACCAGCGACGCGGGAATGCAGTGATGCTGGTATTTTAACTGACTTACCAACTTACATGCGCAGTTCACAATGCGCATGTGCCTCTAATGAGGTCAGGCAGTCTTAAGTAACTCGTAGCGGCCACATGCCCGCGGACTCGCACAGGAGTTAGAGCAGTGAGCGCACAGCGCTGCTGGTGAAAGAGCAGTGTGGCGCGGGCTCTGTTTTCATGTTTGTATTTAATTCTCACAACTCTGAAGTCAGTATTCTCATTTTACAGGTGAAGCAGCAGCTTAGGTAGTGGTGGCTTGAGACATAGTCACATATGTGTACTTTTGAGGGGGACCCTGAAAAACCCGGAATTTTCTTCTGGAGGGCAGTCCCCTTGTCCTACAGGCTACCCCTGGTAGGAGAGTGTTCGCCGAACCCAGCTGTGTCCGTGTACCAGCTGGTGGTGGTGTAAGAGGCTGTGGTCAGCTTCAGGGAACTTTTGTTTTTGAAGGCTTTCGGTGTGTTCGCCCATTTCATGATGGGGGACTTAGGAGTGCACCTTTCCCGCAGGCTCTTGAGTGTTCAGCAGGAAAAGGTGAAACAAGCGATAGAAGCACTGAAAGGCATCAAAATTGACCAGTTGAAAAACTGTTTTGATCAGTGGGAAAAAGTCTCAATAGGTGTATTGCATCAAATGGAGAGTACTTTGAGGGCGACTGGCAATTTTTTATAAATAAATTCTAGGTGTTTTGGGGTCTGCCCTTGTATATGTAACTTTGGCTATGTGGCCTGTGGAAAGTCATGTAACTCTTTTTGATGTGAGTGTCCTGGTGTAACAGAAATATTTAAGCAGATGAGGCCATTTTGGGGGCTTGGGGGAAACACTGAAGCTATTAGTAATATAAGCTCTTTACAGCATTTACATTGAACCTACAGACGTTTTCAAAATTTGGCACAAAGGAAGCATACATCAGTGTGGAGTTTCGTTTTGTTTTTTTTTTCCTTTTTTATTTAAGTGAATGTAGTAGCATAATGTAAGAAGGGATATAAAGAACACGGTGTTAGACTGTTAGGATAGGAAAGTACTGGAGGTAATGGGGAGAGCTTTTGTGTGGGAAGAAATGGGACTACAACAAGATGAACAGCCTAGTATGTGCTAGAAGTTCTTTCTGTTGTCCAGCTCAATGTCTATAAATACCTCATTTCCCTGAAATCTTAAATAAAGGAATTTAATAGTCACCTTGGAGTCATTCTTAATGCTTATTACATAACAATGTTTTAGGCTTTTTTTTTCTAAGCATTTTTTTTGGTATATTTCATGTTGTGTAAAACCCAGCCTTATAGCTTTATACATAATTTATTCAAAAGCGTTAAAGGGAGAAAGGGTGAGGGGAAATGGGAAGGGCACATATGCACTGGGAGTGGAGGACATGATTTCAGACAGGGCTGGCCCAGGAAAAACGGAAATCAAGACCTGAAGGACCTCAGATGCTGTGATTATAGTATTTTATATTTTATTTGTAATTGTTCATTTATTTGTTTATTCATTGTTTATACCCTTTTCTAGTTCAAAAAGATTTTGAATGTATTTTATGAATATATTACAATGAGATCTAAAAACAGGAAATTGGAGTATAGGGAAAATAAAGTCTGGGGCTAGTACACAAAATACACTTCATTAGGTTCTCTGTTTGCTCTAAGCTGCCTGACAGTCAACCACAAATACCAAAAATAGAAATTAACCAGACACTCAAGAGAAACAGTCTTGAAAAAAATTTCCCCCATGGATCTTCATAAAGAGCACTGCAACCAACCTCCTTGATATCAGCCTAAAAATGTGATCTCAAACTTGAATGTGTGCAAGATTTTAGATAATCAGGCAAGAGTATTTTCTAGCAGACGTGATTTAGTGTGCTTAAAACAATTTTTCCCCGAGTCCTAATTACGTGACAAGAGGATTATCAGTATCACCACAGGACATTTGAGAAGAAAATTGGATTTTGATTATGAAGCAGATAGGCCACACTTTGCTATAATACTGAAATTAGTGACTGAAAACAGATGGTATGCTCCCATAAGGAAGATTTCATAATTTGAGTTAATTCCCTGGTTAAAGATTTTTGCATTGTTTTATATATAAAATTACATGATAAGAGTAAGTTAGGTTCTGAAACCCTCCATAGGAAGTCCACAGTAAAATGTTAATTCCAGCACAACACATCAAAGTACCAATTTATTTTGATTTAAATTGCTTAGAGTAAGTATCAATATTTTTTGTATCCTCACCTGAGGACTTCTTTTTTTTTTTTTTTTTAGAGAGGAAGGGAGGGGGAAACATCAATGCCAAAGAAGCATCAATTGGCTGCCTTTGTTGGGTATCGACGCTGGAACTGGGGATCGTACATGTCTGGGCCAGGGGTCGCAAGTGCCAGTGCCTGCGCCCGGACTGGGCATGAACCTGAAACCTAGGTGTGTGCCCTGACTGGGAATCAAACCCACAACCTTTTGGTTACGGGATTAACACACCAACCACTGAGCCACAGTGGCCAGGGCTCAACTAAATAGTTAATCATTTTATTCTCTTTAAGTGGCTTTGAGGAAAATTTGAAGTTTTTCTCGAAAAATGACTTAGGAACTTTGAGCCTAATGTCTTTTCTATTCTGTCCGTTAATTTTTTCAAGTTAATGAAAGTACCCTAACTTCTTTCTCTGATCTTTTCCTGCTGACAGATGGAAAGTAAGGACCTGCTGCTAACATCTGCCCCTCAGTCTACCCTAATACTTAAGATGTAACGGAAATTTTTGAAATGAAGATAATCAAGAAATGCTAAGTTCCTGTATTCTTAAAACTGGTCATGAAAATTACAAAATATGCATAAAAATAGAGTTCATTAAGTCCCTGAGTGTTTATCTTGCACTCAACAACTATCAACAAAAAACATTTGTTTTGAATATTTTCATCTAGCTGCCATTTTTGTCAAAAGTATAATAAGAAAACCCAACATATTTTACCACTAAATGTTTCATTATTTGACTCAATAGAAAAGACTATCATACCAAGTAACTGCCAATAGGATTGCTAAGAAAATAACACAGTTTCAAACCCATACTCAGCTTCCCCCATTGTCTAAAAATGTCTATTTTACAGTTTGAATCAAGATTCAAAGTTTTCCTCATTGTATTAAGTTATGCTTCCTAAATTTTTTTAAGCCTGTTTCAGTGTGGAAAAAAGTGCCTTCTGTTTTTGTCTAGTACCATAACTTCCTTAACAGTTTTTGACATATAGTTCCGATACTATAAAACTGACCTTTTTAAAGTGCACAAGCCAGTGGTTTTCAGCATATTCATAGAGTTGTGCGATCATCCCCAATATCTAATTCCAGAACATTTCCATCACTCCAAAAAGAAACTGACCCATTAACAGTCACTTCCCACCCCCCTTCCCCACATCCTATAGCAACTACTAATCTTTCTGTCTATGGATTTGCCTATTCTGGACATTTTGTGCAAATGGAATTATACAAGATACGTTTTTGTTTGGGGTGGGGGTGCACCTGGCTTTTTAAACAGCATAATTTTTTCAGTGCCCAACAAACAAGAGTAATACTATGCAGTGCTGGATGTCATTTGTTTTTATGGCTGAATAATATTTCGTTGATTGGATATATTGAATTCTGTTTATCCATTTATCAGTTGGTAGATACGCCTTTGATTTTTTGAAGAAACCATGTTTGTTCTATAGAGAGTTACACGTGCTGCCTGACTGCTTACAGATGCTGTTTAATTTGTTACTCTGTCCTCTATTATTTTTTAAAAGATTTTATATATGTATGTTTAGAGAGAAGGTAAGTGAGGGAGAAAAAGGAGTGAAACATCCATGTGAGAGAACAGCCATCGGTTGCCTCTTGTATCCACTGCAACCTGGGTCTGAACCTGCGACTCAGGCACATGCCCTGACGGGGAATTGAACAGCAGCCTTTTGTTTTGCGGAACAGTGCCCAACCAACTGAGCCACATTGGCCAGGGCTGTCTTCTCTTTTTTCTCGTAGACTTAAGAGAAACCCCACATTCTTGAGAATCTTGGTTGTCAAACTTCAGGGTGCAGAAGAACCACCTGGCATGCTTGTTAAAGGTGCAGCATATTAGACTCCGTCGCTGGAGAGTTTGATTTAGTAGACTTGAGAGGGGGCCCAGGAATCTGAATTTTCTACACACCAGTCAATTCTGATGCTGGTATTTCCAGAACACATTTTGAGAAACTCTTACTAAACCTAGATTTTAATGGCACTTAACATTTCATAGGAAAGCCATGGAAGCGGCTGGCAGATCGTTGCCTAAGACTTTAAAAATGAAGTTGGAAATACTACTTACAGAATTCCTAAAAGAGGTCTAAGTTAATATTCTGGCTGATGTCTTCTGGATGGAGATAGCCATTTGAAGGAAGGATGGCGAGGAGAGTTGTGTAGGGGGTGGTAATCACCCTGGAGTGAGTGGAGTGGCCAAATTTAGTTGGAAAGGCAAGGAAGCCAAATAGCCTCTAAGAATTCAGTTACCGCACAGATCTTTATAGTATTGATCTTGAAATTTACAAATGCACTCAGATTAATAATTAGAGTACTTTTGGGTTAGGAAATTTTAATTCTTACTCTGAAGCCATTTTTTAGGTGACCAAGAACAAAATAAGTTTTCAATATTCTAA